CATGATGGTAATGGATTACTCCAAGGTGGAGATAATTTTTCCATAATCTTCTTACTTCTTCAACGTCTTACACCATGAAACTTCTCCATTCTTGGCGATCCTTGAATCAACGGCAACATAAAAGTTGGAGTGATTAGGAAAGCTTCTTCATCTCCGGCATTTCTTCATATCCATCGCACTTACAAAAGTATACTAGGGCTGCTCCCTAAGTATACTACAACTACTACTTCGCCTCAACAGATTCTTCTTGAATACTGAATCTTGACTAACTGAACTTCACGCTTCTTGAGTATCATTTGCTGATCGGCTGAGATGACTCTTCTCTGTTGACCACTGATACTTCAACTACTCACTTCTCTACTCTAAGGGATTGGCTTCGGGGAATAATTCAATTACTAACTGACTATTCCAACTATGAAGACACCCTTAAAAACTACACACAAAAACTCGGAAGTGCAAGATCACTTGACACTACGGAGTTTACTATACCCAAGACTAAATGCTAAAGCATGCATACTAATAAATTAAGCAAGCAAGCATTCAATCAATCACGCAACCAATCACACAATCACAACCAAAAGAATAGATAGAACCCATACGTACCTCAGACGAGACCTTTAGGTCAAGAAGGCTAAGGGTAAAATCTATCTCTAAGGTTTAACCCACTGACTTACTTGATACCTTCACCACTTCTCAATCTTTGGACTGGCCGGGGTGGACGGACCGCTGATGGCTTCTTCAACTTACTCCTTAAAATGGCTTAACCGCTTCATAATTTCTCAACTACCTTTTCAACTCCAACTTCTCTTTGGTTTCTTCTTCCTCCGATTATCTTTAATCTTCCATTACGCCATACTCTTCTCCGATATCAACTTCACTACTTCATCTTCTTGATCATTGTCTTCACCAATTTTGGATGAGTAGACTTTGATCGTTCTTCTCTGTTGCTACCACTACCTTCGGTTCTTATGACTTGTTCTTTCCAACATCTTCAACTTGTCTTTGGTTTCTTCTTCCTCCGATTATCTCCATCATTCCTCCTTTATGATTCTTCAATTTCTTCTCCGACATCTCACTCACTCCTCCATTTGCCCTCACTTGAGTTACAAGCTCACGTTACTAAGCTCGGCCATAATCCTTTAACACTTTGATGATCTTGGTTGCGGTCCCCCACGGCCATCCAGTCTTGATTCAAATCCAACGCACCAACTGCAACAATAACAAGGGTAATACCTAACCCATTTCCCACTAACTCAGGACATACCGGTTTACCTAGTTGCTTTTGCGACTCAATTTACTCGATAAAACATTTTGAAAACGTGTGTCCCGTGAGCATCATAAACCATGCTCTGATACCACCTTTGTAACGCCCCCGAACCGCTCTATGGCCGGACAAGCCACGGGCGACCCGGAAACGTCACGTAGACAGCTCACACAGACAATCCAACAGAGGTTCCAAACGAATTCAGACCCTTAGCCGGACCATCCGCGCGAACCATCCCTCACGACCGCGGTTTAGGCTTTTCAACCCTTACCGTGATCGCGAGTTGTGTTAGTCCGGACAAGACTAATATCGAATGGAAACACACTCTTATTACGAAAATACTCTTTATTATATCATATAAACCTTTTTACAACAAGTATCCAAAACAATAACAAATTGGCGCCGTGAGCTTACATGCTCAAATCGACACAACAATAAAACTCACTAAGTTTTACAAAAGCAACAACTCTATACCGGCTTTCCTACGTCCTGAGCATCCCTCTAATGGTTCCCACTAAGGTTTCCTGCAAAACAAAATGGAGTCATAAGTAATCTAAGATTACTTAGTGAGCTCGGATTCCCTGCAACAATCATTAGTTTAACCCAACCCCAAAAACAATAACATCAAGCATAAATATACAAATATCAGAGAATGCACGCGGAAGCAATAACAAGCAACAACAAGAAGCATGCTTACACGGAACAAGTCCGTGTAACAAGATAATAAATTATGCATGCGACACCAACTATCTAGACGACTCCTATGGGCCCTGATATGCTGCCTTCCATTCCTGTGAACACCCGAGCTATAACCATTAAAGGCATATAACCGGAACATCACTTCGTCGCAAGTTGAACCCACAAAGGATGACAACAAGAGACACCAGAAAAATATGCATCGTCATGCATTACCCGGCCATGGTCCCGAGTCTTATGTCAATTTGTTGTAAGTGACCAGCTAAGGATCAAGGCTTACTTGACATGCCGCCGAGGAAGGACAGACATACCCCTAATTCTTATTATGCTTAAGGCACCGGACATTGAGTCACGAGTACCGCATACTAAGAATGCAACAACTTAGACACAATGAAACATATGGTTAAAAATAACACATAGAATCATATGTATCTAATACAAATAATCACACAAGTACGGAATCATTTATGTACAGATCACGAGGATCGCGGACATGATTCGGTACCATACTAAATCAAACATAAGCATAGAGATTCAAGT